CATGGATTATCTTGTGAATAGCCATGGGATACTAGATTCTTTATATCATTCAAAATTTATTATGTTTTTTTATTTGTAATTTCTAACATTTTGTATGAAATAACGTTCTAAATCAATCCTTTTTACTCGAATGTGCTCTGATGTGAATACATATGTTGCCATGCTTTCTTTTTTAAACAAAACTGGACTCGTTTTATAGTACACACAGATCTAAACGTTACGTTTCATTCACGTTAAAATTCAAGATATGAGCCGCGTCACGACAAAACCAACATAGTGCGTTTGCGACCAGCATGGATCCAGATCTGCGCAGTCTGATCAGGATCCATGCTGTTCGCTTACCAACTCTATTACAAGTAAAGAAACTGATAGCGAACAGCATGTATCTTGATAAGACTGCGCGGATGCGCAGGCTGGTCTGGATCCATGCTGGTCGCAAACCCATTATGTTGGTTTTTAGTCATGGCGCGGCTCATTTAATATAGTTGAAAGGTTCAATGCCTATCATCATGTAAACAACATAGGTTTAGCACGACACGCCTGTGAATAAACAAATAATACATCAAATATTAATAATGTATGGTGATTTATTCTACATAAATCAAGTTATCATGTATTATATCAGAAATGGGTTAATTCTGGTACATGAAAATACATGATAAATAAATTGAATTATGCATATTTGCATATAGTCCAACTAATTAGACTTGTCAAAGAGACATCGAGATATTTTCTTGCATTAGGAAAATTTGTCAAACCGTTCACGCTTCAATAAGCCTAGTATATAACAGTCATTATTTAATGTATTAAGATACCAAAAAAAAATTATTTGAATGATAAATGATTGCTGAAAATACATATGGTGAATCATGCATGATTGCCGATATCATATTTAACAGATAAAGTATCATTTATGATATCACATAAAATAATTTATTTACGATTGTTGATTAAACCATGTATTGAATAATGTGTGATTGCTGAAAAAAATGTATAATAAATAATGCTTGATTGATTATAGGTCTAGATATCAAATAAATAATGCTTTATTTTTTATGATACATATGTAAATCAGTTCAACATTGCTCTAAATACGGAATGAATAAATCAAGAGTGCTTTAGTCTTATACAACAGAATGAATAAACTATTATTGCGTATAAAACGTAATGTATAATTCAATATTGCCTATAAAACAAAATGAATAATTCAATATTGCCTATAAAACAGAAGGAATAAATCTATATCGCTTATAAAACAAAATTAATATTTTCAATTTTACCTATAAAACAGAAGGAATGATGGAATAATTCTACATCGCTTATAAAACAAAATGAATAATTCAATATTGCCTATAAAACAAAATGAATAATTCAATATTGCCGATAAAACAGAAGGAATAATTTAATATCGCTTATAAAACAAAATGAATAATTCAATATTGTCTATAAAACAGAAGGAATAATTTTATATCGCTTTAAAACAGAATAAATAATTCAAAATTGCTTGTAATACACTCATGATTTGCTGATGCAATATTTGTAACTTAAGTATCATTCTATTATACAGGGATTATCTCTACTGATTAAATTCCGAGTTGTTATCAAAATATGTAAACAAAGAATGAGAATAGAGTACATGAATGACGCAATAGACTACAAGATTAGAAAAAGGATAGGCCAATATTTCTTTCTTATTTTCTTTACACCGTCTAACCATGAGATTAGTGGATTCCGAATGTTGATTTAAAAGATTTCGAGTATCAAAATACTGAGAGATTAAGCTGTAATGTAGAATTCACAACATATGTGACGGAAGGTTTTATTCTAAGCATTAGCATATATACTCTTGAAATTAAAGTTTCTAAAAATATATGTACATGTATATGTAAAATTTTAAAAATGAAATTTTCATACAAGGATTGTGTGTGTGGTCTCATTAAATACATGTTCTGATTAAGGTTCTTGGTCTTATACTGATGTGCCGTCTGCATAATCAGGTCGAAAATGGTCTAATATTAGTGTGACATATGTAATGAAATTTCATTTTGAACAGTTCATTACTTTATGTGGCATTAAACTATATACATGTATAGTATATAGCCATTATTACATAATATAGGTAAGACATTCTTACAATAGATTGTGCGTTATACCGTACAAAATGTTTTCAGAGAAGTTATTCAAAATTTATCTTTATGTAGATCTAGCAATAAACTTTAAAACATTTTTTATCATAAAAAATGTTTTCAGAGATGTTATATTTACGGTTTGTCTTTATGTAAATCTAACAATAAACAAGTTAGTCAGAGTTTCTTACTTTTGAAATTCCAATATTTTTGAAAAAATCTTGGCGTAATTATCCAAGGTTATGCATATCTGATAATTATGTAAATATACTTGTTTTGTTTCTATGGATATAATGACATGTTTGATACTTTCACTTCTGCTAAACAACAGAACTTCCTCCTTCATGTAATCTCCTCTGTCCGTATTTCCGGGATTGTGCATGTCGCCAAATTTAAGTGTCACTAAAGGTATAATGTTGTCTTGTTATATTTTTGTAAGCTCTGCATCAGTTATTGAAAATCGAAGAATGCTATATATGCTTATGGGCTATATGTTTATTTACAGAAGTAGCCTATGTGACTGTTCAAACTCGCTGACATACTAAATCATTTAGAATGATCTGCAGATACTGTGTTCTTGTTTGTATATTGTTCGTGTCTTTTTCAAATATGAAATTTCATTCTGTATTATTAGGTGAAAGACTCTTCACATTTTATTTTATAATTCATTCTGACCTTGTGACGTGTTATATACAAAAATAAAACTTCTTTGTTTATGATGTAAATTAACCCTGAAGAATAAAATCTAAAACAAGCAAAAGCAAACAGTGCCTGCATTCTGATAAACAGTCAAAGGGTTACTTCGTTTCCTTACTTGTTGTACCAATAGCCTATAGAATGTTGGCACCGAAAGATTCCTATACAGAATTATTATATTCTATGTAACGGGCTACTGTAAATGTATAAGTTGCCGAAGTAAACTATTTCTTCTTCTTCATATCATTTTGCCCCCCCCCCCCCCCTCGCCTTAATACTATATTAATAACCCCTCCGCCGGCACATACAACATGTGCAATGTTTAAATCACCTGCATGCCCATGTTTATTAACTACGTTCACATGTTTGCTGGATGTCTGATTTGAGATCACGCAATTTCAGTATTTATTCTATCACATGTTTATATCGCTTTATTTTGTAATAAGAGATATAAAGTGCATCAGTGAGGAAAATAGATAATGACCTTCAGCAGAGAATAAAACAAATAACAGCAAGAAAATTCCTGCATATAAATCAATTATATAAAGTTTAATCTATACCCATAGAGCTATCTCTTTGGCGACACGAGTACTCTGTTTGGCGACAGGAGTACTCTCTTTGGCGACACGAGTACTCTCTTTGGCGACAGGAGTACCTCCTTCACGACAGAGCTGTCTTGCAGAATAAATATCATATATTTCATTAAGAAAAGTTTTGGTTCCGATTTAGATTTTAAATACATTCTAGACAAAACATCCACGGTAACGTTTTGAATCTGGATTGCTGTCAAAATAAAGTATGTGCCAATATTAAACGCTTACTTTATAATGAAAAAGTCCATTTCAACTCTAAACGCGCTAAATGGGAAACGCCGCCACAACTACAGTTCAAACATAAATAAATTAACTTTACGTTCCCTTGAAACTTTAATCAAATTTACATAGTTAAGCGATATTCGATTTAAAGTTCACAAATATATATAATAAGACAACACTATTATACCATTGTTGACACTTAAATTCGGCGACATGCACAAGCTAGAGCATTTTATCGTGTATCTCTGAAATGTTTACTTAAATATGGGCGTGTCTGATCTGTGAAAATTTAAAGGGTATACATCTATATCTTATGAAATATTTTTATAAGATTTACAAACAGTAAAATTATATTAGTTTCACTATTATATGGTTGTTTTTCGAAAATGTTGTAATATAGAATGTTTCTGTTATTGAACACACATGAATAATGTACGTAAACAGAATAAAATGTTCCGGAACCAAATACATGTACATATTATTTTGCTATTTAAAGCCATTTAGCAATAATTTTGTGCATGTGCCACTAGCTTCAAGGCAAGAAATAACTGTATTTATTTCATATAAAGTATTTTGGAAATATTCTTTTTTTTAAATCCAAACAATACTTTTTGCATCATACACTTTAAAAGGTATTTAACCCTTACCACGGTAAATACCTAAAATGGACATGGTCATCTTTCAATCTGAACAAAGTCATCCATCCTTTTTATGTACAAATTATTCCAATAAGTATTGACTGTAAAGCGAACAGTGAAGTCGTCTGCTTTTTGGTCTGCACCGGTCGCATTTGAATCAGTTGCCGCCGGCAGACCAAGGGTTATGATGACATGGGAAGTGTATGCATACTTGGTTCTAGGAAGACAGTGGCGTTCAGAGTTTAATTATTTCAAAGCCCACAGTTTTATACTGTTATCTGGTCTGACAATATTGATTTATCTACCTTGTAACTTTTAGCACGTACTACTTGTAGTTTTTTCGTAAATAATAGTTGATGTAAGATGAAGAAATTAAAATTCTCTCAGGCATATTCTATTCCAGATTTTAGAGCAGACGATATCTTTGTTATGTTCAAGGACAAAAATTGTCTGAATATTTTAGAGAAAAAAAATGTGGTATTAGAAAATTAAGATAATTTGATTAATAAGCTGTTAAGATAAATTGTAAACAAGCTTTTAAACAAAAAAACGGTTCCATCTGTATTTTAACATAGGGTGTTTAAGTACATTTAAGCGTCACCATATTGATATGAACTTTCATTTTCTGCCATGTTTCCAAAATTTCTTTTTTTTATTCTGTACTTTGTCGGCAAAACAGACGCCGTGGGCCAACGATGCATGGAAATATCTGTTACATAAATAGTGTAAACAATTTCTCCGCGTTTCAAGGTCTGAATTTGACTGAGATTTTATTAACTACATAAGATTTGCATATTGCGTGCGCTTGTTGCTCATCGGCAGCTGTTGTAAGATTTGGATAACACAGATTTTATAATACTTACCCTTTCTTTTACTGTTTTATATTTCATTGCAGATTGTTTCTATGCAAGATGGATATACGCGTGAGAAAACTACGTAACGGCGAAAAGGGGATACCTTTAAGTCGATCATTTCCGACAAGCGGAAAACCAAATTGCTTTCCGCAATGTTTTAACACTAGTACTGATAGTTTAGCTTCCGACAGATGTAGATCACCGAAATTGGGACAGTATCGAAAACTGCCAACTCATTCCGAATGTGACGTGTGTCAGGTATGTGATAAAGACGCTGTGAATTTGAAATGTTTGCATACATTCTGTCCAGGGTGTCTTGAAAGGCATAAAATATCGAAAAACGGGTGTCCAGTATGTATAAGCGGTGGTGATGACGCCGAGAGGGGCTCTTTCTCAGAAACCGACGAGAAGCATGGGCCTCCGGTTGACGAATTTATCTTCGAGAATTTAGAAAACGGTGACGTCATCGAGGAATCTCTAGACGCGCTTGTTGATAGGCTTGAATTTGATGTGTTGTGTAACCTTGAGGATAGACAGAGCGGTATAGAAAAGGAGATAGAGAGGTTACAAACCGATGTAGACAAAGAAGTTGCTAAAATAAAAGACTACGTACAAACATTAAAAGTCCTTATCGACAAAAGAGCCGAAACTATGATTAGAAGTGCACACGAAAGCAAAGTCAGACACACGACTGAATTAGTCAGACAAAAGAAGATCGTTGAAGATTTCATAAATCGCGTGAAAGCGTGTGTAAACAAGCATCGACACTGTGCAGATTCGACAACTTTCAATGACACAGAAAAAACAGTGTATAATTCTGTTAGAAATTTGATGACACTTTCAGATCAGATTTCGGAAGAGAACGTGCATATAAAGTGTACAACAAAGCCTTTATCCGACACAACACTTGACTTCATGGGAAAAATTGGCGTGCGAGTTTTTCTGGCTCAACCTCTTGGTGTTAAACTTTGTCGAACTTTTCAGTTCCCGGGAGCCGTCCACAGTATTTGTCCAATAAATAATCAACAGGCATGGATTGGATTCCAAAATTATATTCAACTTTGCTCAAAATCTGGTAATAGCAACCAACCATTAGATGTCGGCGAGGATGTCCATGATATTACATCTGATAAGAGAGGCAATGTTCTTATTGCGTGTCACTCTAGTGTCAAGTGTTTAAATGCATCGCACCAACTGCAAACATTGTTCACATGTAAACAAACCCCGCAAGGTATAGCTGTTGTTGAAAACGGGGATATCTATCTATGTATGGGAAACAACGTGGTTGTCTATGATTGGAAAGGACAGCTAATACGCATGCTCGGAGATCCTCATTCCGGTGATTTGAAAATGCCGTACAAAATTGCGATCAATACAAACGGAGACGTGTGCGTGTCCGACTACCAGTCAAGTTCCGGCGAAGTTGTTGTGTTTGATAATGGAGGAAGATTGAAAGCGAAACTAAGAACTGACGGGATGGCTCCACGAGGGGTAGCTTGTAATTTACAGGGAATTATATATGTCGCTGACTTTCGGTCAGACAGAATAAATCTTTATTCAACACAAGGTCATTTCTTACACACTCTGTTGAGTGCAAACGCAGATGGACTTTCAGGTCCGCTGAGTGTAGCTGTTGATGAAGGTGGGGACCTTTGGATCGGGGACTGGAAGAGGAAGGTTCGAGTCTATAAGCAGTCAATTACCAAAGACGAATTTCCAACATACTAAGTTATTTGAACTTTGTTACGCAAAGCCATTTGTGATCTTTTATTTGACATTATTTGTTCCTCTTTCTTTACAAAATATTCACAAAATCTAAACATTATGTCTGCCTTTGAATATATCTAATATATTTACAATATAATGGGTTACATTTTACTTTCCGAATAATGTAAAAGAATGTCGGGTAGATGCAGATCAAGTTCCCGGCGGGATTTCGCTGCATCATTCATTTACATCAATAAAAAGAACTTGAATTCCACAGCTTACTTAATTCAAGTCCAATGAATATCAATATTCTATCGATTTTTTCTATTTCAAGGTAATTTTTGACTTGTCATTGCCATTTTGGATTCTGATACCTGTGTGTTATACGCGATCTGATTGGACGTCCAATTTGGCTCGTCCAATCAGATCGCGTATTTCAACCCAGGTATCAGACTGCAAAATGGCTACGACAATTAAAAAAATACTAATTTATTAATGTTAATGAATGATGCAGCGAAATCCCGCCGGAATGCGCCTCAGTCGCCGAAACGACGATTTCCCGTGTTCCACATTGTTTGGCAAATGGACATATAGTAGGCTTTACACCTTTCTATAACTATAATTTTGATAGTGGAAAAAAATTTTTTTTTATATAATTTCATCGGTGGTTTTGTATTTGGTACCTTATAGTAAGCCTTAGAGTGTTGAATTTTTTTCAGGGTTGTAGTAGGGGTCCAGGGGCAGATAGGGGTGGGGTGTCCAAACACTGATACTGCCGCCTGTGGTTTACACATAGGTTAGAGGTAATATTATAGTTAAAGTCGTCAGTTTGAGCTTTAGAGCAACCAAGAATATTGCACAAGAACTGGTTAGTACTCTAATATTTTAAGCTCGGGGAAAGTTAAACCACTTTTTATTTGTTTGGGTCGTCAGACCAAACAAATAATGGTAGCGAAATTTCAGACCCTGATGTGCCTATTTGCAAAAACCCAAAGGTAAACCGTAAACAAAAATGTATCGAAACTAATAAAGGTTACAAAGCCTAATTTAAAATAATGTGGTTTTCTTCAGGCTATTACCTCATAACTTCCCCTTGGACGCTCGCTAAAGGAAGCGAGAGGTCTGGAGTTCAAATCCCAGTGAAGGCAACTTTTTTTTAATTATTTAAGCCAAATAAACATTTAATTGAATATCAGTGTTGCAATTAGATTTATAATCAATTTACTACAGTTATAACACTGGAAACAACATTGGTGGTACTAAACAAAAACAAATTGGTTTATAATCTCACAACCTTCACCTTTCTGACATTCTGAGACTTAAACAAATTCAGCGCCTTCTGTGCTTTGATTATCCACTTTACTATATGTATGGCGTTTTTTACCATTAAGAGGACGGTACTGCCCTCAAATTGATGTTTGTGTTTTTATTTTTAAGTGTTGCATTCGTCAAACGTTATTGAGGAAAGGTTTTATGCGTCGGTTTTCTTAATTGATTGATATTACAGTGATTTGTCAGTTTGATTTATTAACCAGCGTTATTCATTAAACTCGTCTTCTTTGAGGTTGGTCGAAAAAAAACAATCTTATGTTTAATGTCATCCTTACACACTATGTTCGTATAAAGATGTGTCGATGCACAAAAGCAATCGTCAAATCCTTAAAGCTTTATACATAGATATAGAAAATCTACATGAAAATCTTTACGAACGATGAAATAAGGTATACCAATCGATCGTTATATAAATGCAGTATGTGCAGTCATAACTCTGTTAGCTTTAACCTCTTCAAAATGTTAAAATAATTCAAAATCCCCCTATCATTTAAATATCTAACTACATGTACATGTTTTAATATGAAATGATGGACTGGGTGTGTTTTTTTTGGGGGGGGACAGGGGTGTTAACGTCAGGACCGAAAATATGTAGATCTTAACCGCTCGTATTTAGCTGTACTGTATACAAGAATGTTTAAATGGAAAGCTTTAACACTTTAAAGGGAAGTTAATAAAAATTGATGAAATCAACATACACAGTTATCAATACATGTAGAGCATGTACGCAATGTTTCATAACTCTATTGTTTCGGTTCATAGAATGTTACAATATAACATGTACACAAAGTTTCATAACTATTATTGTCTCGGTTCAAACATTTGTAATGACAAAGAATTCATAAGTACACGCATAAAACAATTGAAGATATAATTTCCTCTGGAAACCAAATTATGAAAAATACAAGATTACACAACCACTTTGTATAGATTTTGAACGTGATGGGTTTTCATATGAAATTGCCTAATCTTATAAAGTCATGTTTTGCTAATAAAACTGGAGATAAATGTTTTATTTATGATACACAGGTTTTCTTCCTTTTTATTATTTTGATTTAGCGAACCCACATTCTATTCAGAAATTTTATCATTGTGGTTTGAAAAGCCAATGAAATAGTAAAAAGAGATTCTTAACTTGGTTTATTATCATGTATGTTTGTTCAAGCATTTTATGACTTTAACATAACAACGATCAAAATCGAAATTAGCATGTGGTATAACAAGATGGATGTATTAAGGGACTGCATCCATTTTAACACAAGCCGATGGAAATCCCAACATATCTGCGCATTATGTTCTTATAATTACAGAAAATGCATAATCAAATCAAATGAAACAAAATCTTTTTTGTAGCGCTTAGACGTGTGTTATTATACAAGTTAACGTATAAGGAAACGTAGTTTATTATGGACAATGCACACACTGGGATATGCACAGACGTTTCACCGGTTTGGAATTCTTAGATTTATAATACCCGTATAAACATTGATTATATTGAGAAAAATTATGAAAACACGAGCGATCAGTAACCTTATGTGTCTCCTCACGATAGCCAATTACATGTTGCAGCTACCGCAGATCTAGAGGCGAAACAAAACTCATTAAAGGACCATAACTCTGTGACAAAAATCATTGAACCGGAAAATGCCGATGATATGCACAACTAGACTTGGTACTGATTCTTGAAAGTGCACCAGAAGTCTTTGAGGAGTAGTCCGGACAAGTTTTGTGATAGGCGGACGGACGGGCGGACAGACAGAACACGGAGAAGTGATCCCTATACGTCGCCACTACTCTGTAGAGGCGATACAAAAATCATTCCTTAATCGCTGGGTCAAACGCCAATTCACAACATGCTGGTGTCAGACTTACTTTTTTACTGATAAAACTGCAAAAATACTGCAAAATTACTACAAGTTAACAAGTATTGTCATATTCGACATTATTACATGCGAACGTTACGGTGGTTGTTCGTTAAACTGGGGTTATCTTTTGTCGTGTTTTCGACCTTTCGCGCTACCTGCATGACAACGTAGGTCGTGTTCCTGTTTTCTATTCGAGGTGTCTTCGTGTTTTCCTTATGGAAAGAAAGAATTCAAAACATAAAAAATATAGACTTCCGTGGTCCATGTGTAACACGAAAATAAATGCATCTTCCCTTTTGCAAGTGTGGTGTTCGAAAATGAGAGAGGACCTACACGGATAAACCATGATTTAGTCGTGCCTCCTTACCAGCAACAACTACCGTGCAAAATTTCACATAATATTGACCATTTTACAGCATAGCAAATATTTTTAACTTTGTAAGTTTTTAAGAAAAATCTGGAGAAACAATAATCCCTCGAAAGCATTAATCACAACAAAATTACATGAAAAATGCAGACTGGTTTGATTGCGTCTGTACATGAGGGATAATGAAAAAGTACATCCATCATGTCCCGTAGCACCGGCTTGAGCGGAAGTAAATGTAAGTGCTGGAATCAAGGACCAGAAAAGTATAACAACACTGACGTGAAGTACGGGACAATGCGTACTCACTGTTTATGTTTAGTTAATTAAAAACATTGTTTTCATTAGTGAACCACTGTATTCTGTAAGACTATATTTTGCATTCTTCTGTGTTTTTACCATCTAAATTATATACTTTACGGGAAAATAAAACATGTACTGACTGAACAGCGAACAGTGCAGACCACGATCAGATGGCAAGGATGTGTCGGCTGATCTTGGTCTGCACTGATCGCATGAATATATTCGGTTGCCGCCAGCAAGCTATAGGTTATATGTTAAATTCGTAATGATCTGAGATCCAATGTACGCGCTAGAATTGTCACGAAAAAGGTCAATTCCATATTATGTTGGTAATATTTCTAAAACTGCTCTATATACATGTATCTGTTTCGATGATCAAAATACACATGTAATACCTTATCTCATAATAAACAGAATTAGGACGTTAGTTTCTCACTATACTAAATAACTCGTAGAATAACTGTATGAAAGTATATTCGTCTACCAAGCAAAGAAGGTAATAAAAGAAGAATATAATCAACAAATTTAAAACAATTTTATTTCAAACAAGTGCTAAAAATAAATACAATACATACTAATTGGCAACGCAAATAAAAATTTTAAAATATGAGTGTTTTTTCGATTTTGACTATAATAATTAACGCAGATGAATGATTTAGATGTGACTCGACACAATAAAAAGGGGACCAACTGAGAAGCGCAAATTGTGATGACGGAGATAGTATTGTAAATTTAATTAGTACATAAATGCATTCTATTGCCTTTTTCTTTTCAAAATAACGTCACGCCATTTTTACGTGACGCTGCACTTCTTTTTATTTGCAGATCATATTGTTTGTGTAAAATTGCAAACATAACAAAAATGTTTATAAATCTGAAATAAAGTAATCATACACTCCTTTAATATGAAGACTAATAATAAAATAAATAAATTACATTAAAAGACGAAGAAGAACAAAGAATTGGTTAATATATGGACAGAGAACTAATAAAATAAATAATCATATCACAAACCGATTATTCATAAATAATACTGATTCGGTCAGATGTATAGATTTGAAGAATTTGTTATCAAACAAATTCCTACATGATAATATCTTTTAGGTACATTATGCCTTAGAAACTGATAAATTTTCTTTCATTAGAAAGTACACGTGTGAGTTTTATAATATTTAAATTATGGTTTTAGAGCATGTTAGTTTCTTATCACCTTAAACAAAGAATTATTTTGATATCCATGCAAAATACTAAATCACTATACTTGTACTAAAGGCGGACAAGAAACAAGCTGGTTCAGATAATTGGCTAATGAGTAACTTTTTGGAAACTCTAAAAACACCAAAAATACAAAAAAGGCTTTTGGAAGATAAAAAAATAGAATCATTTCTGGGGCATAATGGGCCTTTAATGAAATTCTGTGATATAGACACAGACAAAAAGAATATTGGTGTTACATTTGTATATTAGAACCGATCTTTCCCGCCATTACTGACACAGTCTCACGAGTTTTTTTGTTACAAAACATATACTTAATTTTCTCTACCGATAATATTCATACCTTTCGTGTGAAAACTGTAAACAAAACCACATACCAGAAATTAATCTGTTGTTATTTTTTGTTTTTTGTTGTCATATTTTTTCCCAACCACACAGAACATAAAATATCTTTGTCACGTGATAACGGAATTCGTTCACTGACGGTATTTTGTACAGTTCTACGGATCTGGGAAAACAATCAACACAAAATGCACTAAGTATTACAGGTCTGTTATGATAACTTTACAGTTTTCACCAACGTTCAGTGTATCTTGAAATAAAATAAAGAATCAGCTAACAATTATATCCTTTTTATGTTCAGGAAATCATGATTATTTTGTTGTTGTTGTTGTTCTTGCTACTGTTTTCCAATCTATTATGAAATTATCGTCTGCGATCTATGACTTATATTTGTAGAAAAGGCAATTTTCTCACAGAGTTTACAATATGCATGGTAACTCCAAATGCATTGAATGAAATAGACCTGTATCAAAAGCGGACAACTCTTTCATACTAGTATATTGAAATTATTTTCATGCATTTAAATTATTTTTTAACATTTGATCTCTTAAACTGTCCAAAATCTTAGAGAGATCTTTCTCTGAAAGGAGTGTGTGTCCAAAGCACTGTATTATTCAATACTTTAATGCTGATCCTAGATTGATTGTCGTTTTTTATAAGTTGTACAATTGTAGATGTAAATACAAAATGATATGAACGATCCTTATCAAAATATGATAATAAGATAAGCAAATGCTGCGATACATCAAATAAAAAATGGCAGCTTTCAAGTGTTTTTAGGTTCAATGGGGACCTTTTTTACGCGTCAGTCGATAAAGGGGAGTAACCGACGATGGAATGTGAATATATGTTAATATAATCTAAGGAGTTATCCCGCCTAGTCTAAAATCTGTTTGAACTGTGCAATTGAAGCATTGATTTAGATCTTCTTAGAGAACTACGCTCCGAAACCCAGTCCGGATGAATGATAAAATGGCCTACACAGTTTGGAGTTGTTGTCTGAAATAAAGAAGAGAAAAAAAATATTAAAAAATCATGGTAAATGTTAAACAATGACTTCAACAGGCACACAGTTGTGCAGATTTCAGCTTACATGTTACTTAATCATAAAAACATCAACTAGATTAACTAAACACATCAAGGGCAGTGTTGTTGTTTTTGTCGTTATTGTTTTTTCTAAGTCCGTTTGTTTAATGTACAATGTACATAGATAGTTGCTACTTAATTATATTAGCAAATACTGGATCAGAACAGAATTTTTTATATAATACGTAAACAAACAACATGCACCGTTTTAGCCTTCAAGATTGTCTACAACATCGATTGAACGTAAAGCTTTTGTTCTTGAAACAGTATGTCATAGACAGCATAAAAGAGTCTGAGAAATATTTCTAAATATTGAATAATTGATTTACCATAAACATGCTTCGTTCGTGCACATAATCGTCAGTGGTAGCCGCTGTTCGCTTGTTTTTGCGCATGTGCAGTGGGTATTTGTTGAAACTGTAGTTGTAGTTAAACGCTGGTGACTGACTCCTATCAAAATTACAAAATGATATAGAATTTTGTAAGCCAAGACATTTTCACAAGAATAAAATGAAAAGTTTATTTTTTTATTTATTTATCTATCTATATCTATTTATTTATTTATTTACCTATTTATTTATTTATTTATTTATTTATTTATTTATCTTTCTATCTATTTTCACCATAAGACTGACTGTAGAGCACACAACATGCACTTTAAGACAGGAGACGCGGTGGCCCGGTGGTTACGGTCATTAGTTGCCCAATGGGTTGCAGGTTTGAGCCCTTCGTTGGCCATGACCATGCTTCTTCATGGGACACCGGTATTGATTAATTTAAGGTTGATTCAGATCATCTGTCTTCACAGTCGGACTCAAATATATAATATGTTAATGTTTAAACTAATAAAAGATAATAATAGTATAATATAATAATAAAATTCTTGTCAAAATCAATTTGCAATTATTAGTTTGCTTGGTCGATATAAAAGGGAGGTAACGCATTCTACCAATACAGTTGTCTCCCATGTTCCAGTGCGCTATACCACAGTCGAAACTTTTTGACCTTTTCTGAGGGATAACCAACGAATGTTTACATTGCTTCTTTTGGCAAACTGATTAACAAATAGTCTAAAACATAGTTTAAACATATTTTGTTGCCTCGATAATTTCAAACATCAAAAGACAAATATTAAGACCACTGTCTTTGAGTTCGCATTGGTCCTTATCCCCGGCTTGAGTTTTATCTTCATTATACTTTTATATTAACGAAATCTAAGGCATATTTTAAGGATTTAGAAACAGTGAAAAATTTCGCTTTCGTCATATAGAAATAGGTTTGCATAATAAATTACCTAATTCATTAATTGGAATGGGGTTTTAAAGGGGTGCATTGATAAGAATCATAAAAATAATCTGTTATATACGGCTTATGATAGCATCAATGATATGCAAGCATAACGAAAGCCAAAAAACTATGTTTACGTAGCATAGGGATATCTAATCATAGGTCTGTCAACATTTATCCAAGTAACCATCTTTTAAATAGTGTGGCGTCAGTGAAAAGCTACAAGTGCGAGACACGTGAAGTGACCTGGTAGATTGGTTCAAACATATTTATTTAAGCTCCATTGCAAAAGTCATCTCAACTTATATTAATCACTTTCGAGTCAGCTTCCTGGAACCAACCAGTGCTGGTGTCAGGTGAAGAAATATGGTCGTGACCCGATTATGGCTCGAGCCCATGATCCCCGAGTTGACAGGCAGACACCTTAACCACTAGGCCACCGCTACCATCTGACCTGGTAGATTTACACGTAATTTATGCTAAACTCAAACTCGGCCCCTCATCCCTATCCTGGGTCTTTTTATCTTATCCCTCTGGGGCGACAGTCAAATACTGTAACCGCATCGCCAGATGGACGTTTTGCCCTGTTAAAATTGAACCGGTAGTGTTTCAATGTTCTGTGGAAATCTGTGATAAGAAAACTATAAAAATATGTTTCACTTACTGGTTCATTTCACGTGACAGCTCCTGTAAATGCATCGCATCCCTTGGTCCTGTACCATGTGGTTGGTAGTACGGATTGTAATTCTGTTGGTACAGACTTCTTGGATCTACAACTTGGCCTCCATATTTAGTATATCTATCCTTTGGTGGTGGATCATTTACAGAAATTGACGTCATCGGTTTGTACATTGGCTCATAAAAAGATTGGCTCCGTTTCATTGTAGTAAACATGGCGTCGACGGCTTTGCGATCTGTAAAAAAGTGATACCGTACACTTGTGAATGAACATACGAACTGGCAAATTGATCAATCGGTCCGATATGATCGATTGAACCTACTGATATTGAAAAGTAAAACATAGTGTGAACAATATGAAGACATTGGCATGATTTTTTTATTATAAAATGTAGTAATGAATATAAGAAAGGAAATATTTGGTCGGATATAGTTCACAAAACTTGTTTTTGTCTAATAGTTGAACCTCTAGCGTGTGCAAGACTGTGATAGACTGACGGAAGGATAATCAAAATGTATAGTTGAAAAGTTTATAGTCAGGCTTGTTATCCACAACATTATGAAAGTTCCATAGCGTACCTATCACTGCAACATATGCGAGTACATCATCTAAATCGATGATAAATACAATTTCTCTGTACCAAAAAGTAAAAATTGTTTCCTTCATTTTTACCGTTAATGATAACTTAAAATAAATCTTTATTCTTTTTTATTTATTTTTTTTTGTTTCATTACAATTTAACCCCTTACCACGCTAAATATCTCAAATGGACAGTCTGGACAGAAACCAGTCATCATTTTTAGGGAGAAAATACAAACTATCTACTGGCTGAATAAAAAACAGTGCAGACCATGTACATCCGGGCGGATGTGTCGACTGATCTTTGTTTTGTTGGTTTTTTCAATGCGTTTATTTAAGGTCGCCGCCGGAAAGCCCATATGGGCGACCGTACACTCAAGTCGGGCCATCCTAGAGCGTCCCGCCGAGATTTTTTCGTCGATTTTTTTCCAGCTTTATTGGTGGAGGAAGGCCCCAGGTGCCCCTTCGGGCATTATTTCAGGCACGAGCGGGCACCTGGGTAGAACCTACGACCTTCCGTAAGCCAGCGTGATGGCTTCCTCACATGAAAGATTTCGACCCGAGTGAGGATCGAACCTACAGCGGTGAGGGACCTGTGATCTCAAGTCAGCGACCTTAACCACTCGGCCACGGAGGCCCCTTGAACTGATCTTTGTCTGCACTGGTCGCATAATTATATGTTTCCGCCGGCCGAGTTAAGGTTAAATTAGGCTTCAAACTTTTAATTAAGGAACAACTTACCGTTTGCAGCGGAAACGTTTGTCCAACTCTTGATGTTAGGATCAAATTTAACTGGTTGCCCAACGTTCTGTTGATGAAGTGTAAGAAAAAATGTATATACATATGTATATCATTTTATTACAATTAATAACTAACTCTTTAAAATAATATTCTTTTGTTTATGGTGTACGATTTATCCCTACCTCAGAAAGTTTCTATGATTTATATGTAAAATTGGCAACAACGAAGACACTGGCGAAGATCCCCCGCTTTATTTCCTAACTCATTACATTTGCAAGTCTTTTTATAAGTCGTTTTGTATTATTTACGTTTTGAATAATCGTTATTTACTATTTATTGTTCCTGTCGTCTGCTTATTTATTTAAAATAATCTTAAACAAGCCATCTTAAATGTTTCGTTTATTCGTACAAATTTACTTTAATTCGATTGCGTTGGAAGCTATGTGCTTATTGAAACACTCTCGACTCCGTTCCTGGAACCAACCAGTACTAAGCAACGAATGAAATGTTTCTTGCTCAAGGAAACAATAGCTTGAACCCACAAGGTTTGAACCCACACGGTCAGTAATCCATAGAATACAAGTCCGACGAGTGAACGACTTGGCCCACGCCGCCACCAAATTTTTATAAATATTATGGTTATCTTGAGTGCACGGATGTGCATGCTAGCACTTGAAGACCTAGCACTAGCATCATAGCGGCATTAGGGATATTTACCGCCACCTGTCTTCAGATTCAGAAAGAGGGAACATGTATAATGTACCTTATTATTCGTTGATTGGATGTTTCTATCAGTGTACAGGCCCTGTGACGTGTATGGTCTCTTTTGTGTTCTGTTTCTTTTGGGCTCAGGCCAGCAGATCCAGTGAAGATCGGGTGTTTTACTGCGTATAGGCTGTGCCTCGGGAATTACAAAGTCTGCTTCTGTAAGAATAAAAAGAAATACAAAAAATATTAATATGAGCCTGGATAGAAACGTGTTACAATTTTAAACTGTCTATTTTCTTATTCACATTTTTTTACAATTTAAACTTTAAGTAGTAGAACATATACGGTTATCAAACATAATACCAAGAAATTTTCTTCAAACTTATTTTAAAGTAAGAAAGAAAGAAAGAAAGAAAGAAAGAAAGAAAGAAAGAAAGAAAGAAAGAAAAAAGAAAGAAAGAAAGAAAGAAACAACCGGATCGAGTCGAATTCTGTATGTAAAAAATAAAACTATAAAAATACGATATGTGAATCGAATTAAAAAAAAAGAATACAAAAAAAAAACAACAAAAAACTGAGAACTGTCTCAGGAATAAAACAAATAAATTTGTAAATATTTTAAGCTATTGATACTTTTCAAAAATAAAAATGTACATGTAATTTAAAGAATGTGGTACATTTAAAGAATTAATCGTGAAGGGTATTAAATATGATTTGAAGTAGATCAAACGCTAATCGTGATAAATAGTTAAACACTGATCCATAAACTTAATATGGTTTTATACACAATATAACATCTAAATACCATTATCATAAAAAAAAGCTTTACATTTAATACGTTAAAATAATTTAACACACCGTATAATCCACCCAAAACCCGTTTACCTTTTTATCAATGGTATAAATTATACTAAAAAATCAATTAGAATTCCCGACACCGAGATATCCAGTATCTAACAGTTTCTGTTTCGTTTATTCAATTAACCTTAGATGTAGGTCTCTTTGTTAATCGATCGTCTAGCGTTAATGTATAATTCATAATGAGCTATTGTCTTCCATTTATTAGTTAAAGGGTTTAATCCCATTATATTGGTTGTCATTTGGATGTATAGAATTACAAACAAAAAACAATTTGGCAAACCCAGCAAATTTTGTTGACCTAAATTTCAACAAGAAAAATGTACCACCGTATAAATTCATTCACACATTTACAAAAAAGATTTTGTATTAGTTTAAACACATCAGAATGCTATTCGATGTATGCTATACGTAATCCTATTCAATTATCGTAAATAGACAATAAATCATTGTACAAATATATAGCGCCATGCAAAGAAACCGTTGTCGTGAAATTCGAGGATGTTGAAGATAATGCATCTATTCAGAAATATTCGTTCTATTTGGAATCATACATAATTCGCAAAAACAAAGAAGTCTCGTTATTTAATTAAAGGTGATCAGCACTTTTTATAGTTAAAGCTATACAACTGATGCCATACATGTATCAATAGTTGTGTTTTTGGTCATATCAGAACTGCAATTGTTGTAAACTACACGTTGTGTATTAAATATTTGTTTTATTGCATTATTCAACGTATCTGACGTGCAAATGTTTATAAGACACAGCAACGCGTGGCCAATGCTTCAAAGTCAAAGCAACATGTGAGTAACAGCGACATGTGACTAATATTGCAAAATCACGCCGACGGGAAACAAAATGCCTAGAGGTCACAGCGACGTGTCGCAAATGTTTCAAAGTCACAGCGATGAATGCCAAATGTTTCAAAGTCACAGCGACGTGAAGCAAATGCTTTGAAATGACAGAGACGTGAGACAAATGTTTCAAAGGTATATGGTGGGGTCAACTACATTTTGCATCTTAATGTGCTATTCATCAAACAATGCAAATACTTAAAAGACAAAACGACGTATGCCAAATGTTTCAAAGTCACATCCACTTGTACCACCTGCATCAATGTCAAAGAAATTTGTGGCAAATACTTATAAAACAACGTCATGTTGAAAATGCTTAGAAACAGCGACGGCTGACAAATACTAAGATAACAGCAATACGTTGCGCGTGCTTAGAAGTCACAGCGATGTGTGGCAAATGTTTCAAAGTCACATCCACTTGTGGCACATGCTTCAATGTCATAGCAATTTGTGGCAAATGCTTAGAAACAGCGGCGTGAATCAAATACTTAGAAATAGCATATACTTAGGAGTCACTGCGGTACATGGCGCACATGTTTCGAAGTCACAGCGACGTGTTGCAAATGCTTAAAAAACGGCGACGTATTGTAAATAGCGTATGACAAATGTGTCGAGATCACATCGACTACTGAATTTATATAATCATTTTCCATTTACAATGTCATATGTCCACTGATATAGTTACAGTAAAAACTTTTATTTTCAGAATATTTTTTATATATATATATATATATATATATATATTATATATATATATATATATATATATATATATATTAGTATATATATATATATATATATAAATTTAATGAAAGCCTGCATTCCTTTAGCAGATGCTTCCGGTTCTATATATAGTAGGCAGACTTTTATGTTACGATGAAAAAAGTCAACCCAAAGAAATGTTTCTCTTTTAAATTTCGATTAGTTATGACAAAAATAAACTCAAATACATGAATTTTTATCGTATATTACAAAAGATTATTACATATTATTACTACTTTTGCACCAGACATTCTATCATAGCACAGTTAACACGTAACATTTTACAGGTGACATTGCGCGCGAAAAATTTCTTTAAAAAAAGAAATAAAGACAACCAATATTGCTTGTGTTTTTATCAGTTTTAACGATCTGTATACATTAGTGTATTATAATGAATTATTAATAATTATCTAAATGTTGCTGACATTGGTTTGGATAAATGCCATTTACAAATGCATTCGCGAGTCAGTTTGAATTAAAATTTAATCATATTATTGTGCAAAAGTTATTTATATTTCATATTCAATACAAAAGTAAACATCTGTCACTGAATAGGCACAGTGGCAACCCGATCCATTTTTACATGTGTTAAAAAAATCTTCAAAATAATCTCACCTTTTTTGCAAACTCAGAATTTCAAATGAAATAAATAATAATTCATTTACATCCAATAAAAAATAATCTTAACTCACCAAAATCTTTTTTCAGCGGAAAGTATGTAACAATCTCCTTTCGTTTCAGAATAGATTTCCTGTGTGATTTCTCCGGGACATGCACTGTGAAATCTCGCATTGTTTAAAGCCCATATCAACGGCACTGCAAGGTTTGCAACTGCCACTAATCGGAGTATCTATTACAGCACAGTTCAAATATATTTACCCAAGCTTTTGTATAATACCAGTTTTAGTTTAATGACCATTTTAAAGTATTTATTCAAATCGGTCGAGGATTTAAAAGGTCCGCTGTAAGCCTTTAAGAAAAGGTATTTATTTTATTCATGTTTGATTATAGTGTAGCATACAAAATGTGCCGGTGAAAAAAATACCTTTTTGCACACTTTATTGGTTTTTAAGTGAAGTACATCTTATGTTTGGTATACAATGCGAAATGAATTTATTGTACGAAAATAGTAATTAAAAAAAAAATCATGTCTTTTTCCTCAAATTATTTCTGAAGGAGAGAAAGTTATATTTGATAAAGTTGAGATGTAGCTTATACATAACGAGGCTACACGGTGAAATATTATATTTCATTACATTTTTAACCAGAAAGGAAAATTTGGTGAATAATACTACAAGTTAATTGTATATTCTGTATCTTCACTCTCGCTGTATTGAAGGTATGGTGTTTCAATAGGTGATGACGCTCAAGTATAATATTGTATGATAAATCTGTTATATTCTTTCGATATTACAGTTATTATATCTTTGTTTTGTACTATGGCAAGTAATAATTTTCGGTCTTTGGGCGAATAAATTTAATAACTGGCATGAATAAACAATAATGGTGTAACCTGACTGTAAATGTAACATATTAAAGGAACTCCACTGAGGTCTTATAGCCTAAAATCAGAAAATTTGAAATTCTTTCATAAATCAACTGGGGCACTTAAAATGGAAAATTATACAATAGATAATGTAAAAATATACTCGATGTAAAAATTGTTTATCAATTTTTATGCGGATTTTTTGGCCACTTTGTGTAAAAAGCATTGCAAGGCTTTTCAATCGAATATCAATTTGCGCAATAAAATTGATTGTCCCTTGAAAGCGGAGTGAGCAAATGATCTGAAACTTTGTACATGAGTTATTGGTCCATTATTAAAAAATATTTCCGGTTCCTTCATGTCGAAAAATTGTATTGGGGTCCTTTTAACATGTAGAATACTGGAAATGATGTAAACATATATCAACAAGTACATGTGTATTTAACTTAAAAAATGGACAACAAATATTTTTAAAAAAATCTGAAATTAAAAGATTAGAATTTTGCAAACCATAACATTCTACTTCATTGAAGGAGTTTATATGAAAGTGCCCTGAAATTTATAATGTGGACATAATGTTATGAACTGTGCTGTAGTTACAAAGTTTACGTGTTCAATTTGAAAAATATCGAACTTTAAATTCTATAAATCATACGTATATTGTAATCTAGTGTTAGACATTTAAGTAAAAGATTATCTAAGATTAAAGTTATTGTGTCTGCTGCCTTTTCAAATCAGCCGTTCGCCTCCGCCGCGTTGATAAGGGCCGATTAAAGAATGATCGATCGGGCCTTTATTTTAAATGTATTTAAAAAGCAAATACAAGTTCGCAATTTAAACACTTACTTTAGACGATTCAAGAACGTCAATTGATTATTTGCATTTGGAATAATACAAAATGCATTTAAATGCGCGCTGTAATATATTCGTCAACATACGCAAGGATTGATTAGTGCAATATGGCGAATGCAGGCATGCAGTTAATCTACAAGTGTTTGTTTGTTTTTGTAATTCATAAGGCAAAGCATTTATATCTTCTGTTTCTTCGTGAGATAATCTATGATCCAACATTATTGGAAAAGTCTATAATAATTTGCATACACCAGTTTACTGCCAATTAATGGTAAATGTAATGCTATACCTTTACACACATACTTATTACTAAAATGATAAAATGTATAGACTTTCATTGCTTATTATCTATTCTATTATACATAGAATCATTTGCCGCTCATCACTTCGTGTTCGAATCTTACTAGGGCTAAGGAGCCTGTCATCGTGAGAAACTATGCAGCTAGCTTGCAAAAGGTTTGAGGTTTAACTTGGGTACCCTTGAATAATTATGGATATGGGTACTTGATGACCTCCTCGACCCGTGAGACTAGAGAGTCACCACGTGACCTTCACAATGTGGATGTGACTTAAAACCAAGCAAAACATTTGAATTGAGATTTTAGCCTTTTGAACATGATATGTTTATTTTGCTGGTGTCGATACTAGGCCCTGATAATCGTTAAGAAAGTATTATATATAACCAAACACGGACAAAATCAAAATCCTCGGGCTGCGGACTATGATACATTTACATATAGATAGAGGTAAAGCAGTAAATTGTCTTAATTAAGGATCACGAAACCCAATGAATCGGTAAATATCGACTTACTTCGGATAATATCATAATAAACTCAGAACCTCCATAGACCTCTTTCGACAGTTTTCGTATTTTTACGGTGTTCCGTTTGGACAATCGTAATTTTTTATTTAGTCTGTACCCGCGATGCACGATGGTAGGATGGTGAAAACGCGATGGTACGATGATGAAAACACGATGGCGCGATAGCACGATGGTGAATACGCGATGTTACATCGCGTTTTCACCATCGTACAATCGCGCTTTCACCATCGTGTCATCGCGCTTTCAGATCTTTGAGATCTTAGTATTTAAAACATGAAAAATAACAAAAGGCAATCGCTCAAAAATTTAAAAAATTCAAGTTGTCATCCTTGTGCACTGTACGTACATATGAAGTTGTTATCTTAAATACAGCAAAAGAAAAAATGCAAACATATATAAAACATTTACATGTATAAGCATATATATATCTATATACAGTATAACCTACGGTGTTCGATTTGGACAATCGTGATTTTTTATTTAGTCTGTACCCGCCATGCACGATGGTGAAAATGCGATGGTACAATGGTGAAAACGCGATGGTACGATGGTGAAAACGCGATGGCACGATGGTGAAAACGCGATGACACGATGGTGAAAACGCGATGGTACGATGGTGAAAACGCGATGGCACGATGGTGAAAACGCGATGGTACGATGGTGAAAACGCGATGGTACGATGGTGAAAACGCGATGGCACGATAGTGAAAACGCGATGGTACGATGGTGAAAACGCGATGGCACGATGGTGAAAACGCGATGGCACGATGGTTAAAACACGCGATGGCACGATAGTGAAAACGCGATGGCACGATGATTAAAAAAACGCGATTGCATGATGATTATATTTTGGTACTTTTTTATCAAGTATACGAGAGTGTTTTGCACTGTAAAGTCATAATCCTAAATAGAAATTCTATAGGAAGGAAAATATCTATGTGTCTATGAAATGAAAAGGAACAATGTGTTATTATGTAAATTGTTTGGCATATTTGTCTGAGCTGTTGAATACCATTAAAATATCTAATGACAGTCTCCTTCCTCGTGTTTTGGGGGATTTTACCTAAAGAGAAAGTGAAATAAACGTCCAAAAGAAATTCAGCTAGTTGTGAAGATATTGTAAGGTATGTATATTTACCTCCAGGCATGTGAATCAGTCCAGCATCAGGAATCGGCATCACTTGATTTACGTCGTCGTCATGATCGTCCTGAATATTGTGTACACCGTGCAAGTATGTTGTATCTGGCTGGAAACAGTTTACGGTTGGAAAGTGAACATCGTCTTCAGTATTCAACACTGTATCATCTAACATGGGATCATCAAGGCCGTGACATTGTTCGGAATATGGTTGTGCGTATTGTGGCAGCACAATCTCGGTCGCACGTGGTACCAACGGTCTGTAGGTTTTACGGTAGTTTGATCTCTGAAAAAATAAAACAGTTATGTAAGTCAATACGGGACGAGTTGGATGTACTTCTGCATGGGATGAGTGTAATATAAGTCAATATGGGATGAGTGTTATGTAAGTCAATATGGGATGAGTGTTATGTAAGTCAATATGGGATGAGTGTAATGTAAGCCTACAAGGTATGAGTGTAATGTAAGTCAACATTGGACGAGAGAAATGTAAGTTTACATGGGATGAATGTAATGTAAGTCTACACCAAACGGGAATAATGTAAGTCAACATGGAACGAGAGTAATGTAAGTCTACAAGGTACGAGTGTAGGGACGAGTGTAATGTAAGCTACAAGGGACGAGTGTAATGTAAGTCTACAAGGGACGACGGTAATTTAAGCCTATATGGGACGAGTGTAATGTAAATCTACAAGGGACGAGTGTAATGTTAGTCTACAATGGACAAGTGTAATGTAAGTCAACATGGGACGAGAGAAAAGTACGTCTACATGGGACGAGTGTAGTGTAAGGTTAGAAGGACGAGTGTAATGTAAGTCTACATGGAACGACTGTAATTTAAGCCTACATGGGACGAGTATAATGTAAGTCTACAAGGGACGACTGTGATTTAAGCTACATGGGACGAGTGTAATGTACGTCTACAAAGGAACGAGTGTTATGTAAGTCTACAAGGGACGACTGTTATTTAAGCCTAATGGGACGGGTGTAATGTAAATCTACAAGGGACGAGTTTAATGTAAGTCTACAGGGGACGAATGTAAAGTAAACCTACATGGGTCATGTGTAATGTAAGTCTACATGGGACGAGTGAAATGTAAATCTACAAGGGACGAGTGTAATGTAAGTTTACAAAGGCGAGTTTAATTTTAAACCTACATGGGTCAAGTGTAATGTAAGTCTATGTACAAAGTACAAGGGTAATGTATGTCAACATTGGACGAGAGTATAGAAAGTCAACATTGGATGAGTGTTCTGTAAGTCTACAAGGGACGAATGTAATGTATGTCTACAAGGAACGAGTGTAGTGTAAGCCTACATGGGTTAAGTGTAATATAAGTCTACATTGGAGGAATGTAATGTAAACCTACACGGTATGAATTTAATGTAAGTCTGCATGGGACGAGTGTGATGTAAGTCTTCAAGAGAGTATAATGTATTATGTAAGCCTATATGGGACGAGTATAATGTAAACCTACATGGGTCAAGTGTAATGTAAGTCTACACGGGACGAGTATAATATAAATCAACATTTTCAGTCTACATAGGACGAGTGTAATGTGAGCCTACAAGGGACTAGTGTAATGTAAAGTGCGATAAAAGTCTACATGGGGTGATTCTATGCAAGTACCTTAACATGGCACGAATCAGCTGCTATAGTTGTAGATATCACGGTGGTACGCCATCGTTGGCGACATTTAGCTAAAATAGAGGTATCCGATGCGAAGAAACGGTGGCCTCAAATGAACACCGTAAGAAGGCGAGACGATTGTTGCCCAGAATCATTTACTTAAATAACTACAACAAAACATTAACATGATATCGTTTATCATTTTTGCCATGCCGCCAACATTTTAATCAATGTGTGGGGGAAAACGGTTTCATTTAATATTTGCTGAAACTCAATAACTGGGAAATTTCTAGAACATAAATTTATGCGCTTGAACTGCGCATCTGAAAATGGTAACAAAAGCTCGTAAATGACCGATTATAGGGAACAACACATGTTAATGCTTCCAATATATCTAAAGTGACAGGTAAGGTTTAAGGTTTTTAAAACTAATAAAATGTAATGTACATGGCTGTTTTGTCATAAGCCGCTAAAATGGAACGATTTAGGATTTAAAATGTTTACTGTGTAAATAAATATAATTAATCATGGTTTGAAAGGGAAAATGGCGTTTTCTATTGTTAAAATTTCTATAACATAATAAAAACACAATCTTTCCCGCGCTTATTTTTAACAAAGCGTTTTTGTAATACTTTAGAAAGTCTTAAGTGATCGGAAATTAGAAAACAGAAATAGGATAATTATTTTGTCAAATAAAATCATTTATTTGAAATATGAATGTAATTTATTGACTTAAAACTTTTCTATGTATAAATGTTGACAAAGCTTCAAAAATTTAGAAAGGAAATTATTTTAATTTTGGTCCTTTATGACTTTTATTGGGAATACAATGTCTTTTCTTTTTCTTTGTTTGACAATATTACGACAGTTGCAAAGTTCACCGATAACATATTAAGCACCTGCACAAATATATAATACATGTATATACACAAATATATAATATATTCACAAATATATATCATATATACACAAATATATAATATATACACAAATATATATTATATACACACACACACATATGTAATATATACACAAATATATAATATACATAAATATATGATATATACATAACTATATGATATATACACAAATATAGAATATACACTAATATAATTATAATATATACACTAATATATAATATATACCAGGTGTCATACATATTTCTTTTATTTTAATATACAGTTTTAAACCAGTATCAATTTGTTTATTTTGCATCGGTATTTACACTTTTTTACCAAAATGGAAGCAAATTGTTCTGTTTTTCTGTTCTTGGTGCATTTTGGTACATTACAAAAACAAGAATTTTTGTACATTAACAAAAATCTTCATTTTTAGTACATTCACACAAAAAACTACATCAACGGCGTTTAAAACAGTGTAAGGAATATACGCTTTTATATACGAAATATCGGTGGGCCATTTCAACTTAATGAATTCTCGATTTCAGCTTCATGAATTCTCGATTTCATCTTCACGAATTCACGATTTCAACTTCAGTACCGGTCTTTCGTATAATTATATCAATACATATGTACACTGAATTGCGTTACGTTAAGTTTATCTCTATATCTACAAAACTCTAAATCAGGAAACGTTTAATTATAAATAATTAAAACTCACAAATCAAACCAACAAAAGCTCACTGATCTGACGTTCAATATATAGTAGACCTAACACACCTTGTCTGTAGTTAAATACCTAGATACCTGAAACCCGTACCAATTTCGACTACTGAAAGCCGTGCGTAGTTCAACAACCTAAATTCGTACCAAGTCCATATAAAGTTTAACCTAGTTCAATACATGAGAGCCGTGCTTAGTTCAATACGTTCGATACCATAAGTCGTGCCTAGCTCGACATATGAGAGTCGTGCATAGTTCGTTAATTTCAAGTCGTGTCTGGTGTGATTAATACATGCCGTGCTTATGCCAAAACTTTAATTGTATCAAGTTGTGCCTTGTTCGATACCTAAAAGCCGTGCCTAGTTTGATACCAAATGCCGTACTGAGTTCGACATCTGAGAGCGGTGTCAAGTCTGAAGTGCTTAATCCGAATCTAGTTTGATACATTGAGCCGTGCTTGCTTCGGTTGAGCCGTGCTTAATTCGATATATGTACCTGAAAGCCGTGTCTACTTCAGTACCTGACAGCCGTGTCTACTTCAGTACCTGGCAGCCGTGTCTACTTTGACACTAGAGAACAGTGTCTAGTTTGAATGCCGTGTTTAGTTCTATATATGAAGGCCGTGTCTTTTGTGATATCGGAGAGCAGTAAGTATTTAGTATAAATCCTTTAGAACAAATGCATCCCTTAACTGGCAGTATACCTTCAAGGCCTCCTGCATATCCTTTACATTCGTCGGCGGTATTTTTGGCACTCTTAACCATAAGGATACAAAATAGCCGCGTCACGACAAAACCAACATAATGGGTCCGCGCAGTCTGATCAGGATCCATGCTGTTCGCTTACAAACCCTATAACAAGTTGAGAAACTGATAGCGAACAGCATGGATCCTGATCAGACTGCGCGAACGCGCAGGCTGGTCTGGATCCATGCTGGTCGCAAACCCATTATGTTGGTTTTGTCGTGACGCGGCTCAAATAGCGTTTGATAGTACAGTCGTCTGCTATGTAGTATGCACCTTGAATCATATCAAAGTGCACGAAGTAATCAAGACTCGTTAAAGTCGTCGGCATGTCAAGCGACCTGAATTTTACTGTCACATCTGTGATGTCGGCATTTGCCTTTGATACGTATAAAAAGAATTAAATTGAATTAAGCCTATACCACTATTATCTCCTATCAGGAAATTAGAGACGAGTATAACTTAACAGTAGATGTCATTTTATAGCTCATTCAAACTTTAAAACGAATTCAAATAAAGAATATGCTTATCATAAATATCTATTTTAACATCAGTTTTTTATTAAACGAATATCATTAGCATAGCAAAAAATATAAGTTCTAATCGCTGTTTTATTCACCTTGACAAGTGGCAATTGAAATACATATGGAAATAACAAATTGATATAAACAGCTATCTTTAATATATGATATCTGTGAATATTGATTAATCGAAGATAAACGATATGCTTTAATTTCATTAAGATATTAGACCTTACGAGAAGATTCAATTTACAAGAAGGCTGAATTATTTAATCGTTAAATAATTTTTGCTAAAAGTTCAAATCTTGTCACCGGTATGTCCCAATGGTGGTCGACAGGTCTTTTCGAAGATCCAGTATTCACGTTCATGCCGTCAACAGATTAGAGTGCTTGGTTGACAACCTCATTTCATTATATCCCTACCTTCTCTGACCAATGTTGACCGCCTAACTGTACCATGTAACAATGTACTGCCCATCCAACATTATCATTGTCGGGTCCTTTATATCTATTCTCTTATAAACTTACTCAGTTTAAACTAACCTTCTTTTGATAATTCCAAATGCCTTTCTTGGTAAAATCCTCCCCGTACTGGGTGGACCACGCCCTAGGTTGTCCCGTCGGCATCCCTGTATCGAACGTTAACCTCCTAGAATTTATATCTTTACTTAACTGAAAGAAATTAGCAAGTAGCTACGAAATCTTTATATTTATCAATATTCTCAACTAAACACTGTAATCCTTATGTATTTTTCCAAAACACCGTTAAAAGTAAACGCTTTGAAAATCCATTATATGCGATACGGTGAAAATCCATTATGAGGGACAATTTTTAACTTTCGCTACTTGGCACAAACTTATTATTTTATACAATCGATGGTTCAAACAACCGGAGATAATAATACTTTTCAATATTTTGTTCAATTTAAATGTAAGAGCTTTAAGGATAAGTAAACAGATACAAACATTATGTAAAAATAAGAAAACGCAAACATCTGCTTTAATACTTAATGGTTTGGCTTTAGATTGTGAATAAAGCCTTTATATATTATATAAAAAAAATAAAACCCGTGTATCATGAAACATCTTATGTATTAAGAAAGGATATTAAAAAGCTTAGATAATCTTTAAGAATTTAAATTTTTAAGAATTCTTCATAAGGGTTTTAGTGAAGATAGAAACTGACAGTATGACGAAAACAGCCAGACGCAATCCTTATATTAAATACAGAAAAATTGTAACATTTGCCCGAAGTAGAATATGAATTTCATACGTTATTCTGAGAGTGTTCCCTGTATAGCGATTTGTGAAAGAAAACTTATGAATTTCTTTCTTCAAATAGGACTATATATGAAGAAAGAAATTCTTAAGGCCGAAATGTATTGAATTGTAAACATCACAAATGAAAATGTTAAGAGAAAAGTATCCGTGATTATCTGATATACACGGAATTTTGGTGTCCATTTTAAGATGTTGGTATATACCTTATTCATACTGACCATGGTATACTGTTTAATGTATCAATTTATCTATTTTAAAATGATGTAAACATGATTGTTAAATACATGTATGTAAAAACCTTCTCCGAAAATTTGTTCACTTTTCCCTGTTCGCAATATATGTTATTTTAAGTAATTAAAACTGTAATTGTTGTTGTCATAATCATAACCGTACTTGACATTTTAAAATTCGTAGTCATGTTCGTTTATTGAAGAAGGCGTTGTTGTAGTCTCTTAAAAAGTCATAATTGTAACCGTACTCGAAGTCTATTAGTTTAGAACTTGTAATGTTGACCGAAGTTGCGTCGTAGCCGCACTTGTTGTTCTATAATTTGTGGTCGTAGTGATGGTCATAGTCGTCGGCGAAATCGTAATTTTGAAGTTGTAGACATTCTTGCAGTGAAAGAAGTTGAAGTAGTGGTAGTTGTTGTTGTATAAGTAGCTGTACTCGGAGTTATTAAAGTTGTAGAAGTCGTAGTTGTGATCAAAAACGTCGTGGTCGACGGTCAACCTGTAGTCGCTTAAGACATAGTTGTAGCCATAGTCTTGGTTGAAGTCGTCGGCGTAGAGTAGGCGTAGCCTGGACGAAAAAGTAATGATGATTATCATTTTTGTCATCTTACGAAAATGAGCTATATTCGGTGATACTCAGCATCTTAACGTATACAGCTAACGGTAAGCCGTATTCGGTGTAAGCTGTATACTATGTTACAGTCAACGTATACAGTCCAAGCGTAAGCTTTGTACGCCGTGAACTGTATACGGTGCAACATGGCTGCCACATACGTCCCTATTTGCATAAATTAAATTAGCATGAAGAAACATAAAAAGATGTGTTTGATGAGATTCGAGTTCTTTGAGAGTGTGTTATTGATGTTTTATTGGATACCGTTTGTCTGCTTCTGATTGATTGTATTTTAATTTATAACGCACCTTGATTGCTTCTATATTTTGCCATATCATAATACGCCCACAAACAAGGAAAGGGAAACGTTTATTAAAATATCCGAGGCTCGAATTTTACCAATAAAAGGCATTTTTGTTTTGTCTATATACCAGACTTTTATCATTGCATAATTTTTGATAAGATGAAGTAACGACGGTTAAGACAGAATGCCGTATTGTAATGTATTTTTGTATTTAAAACTACGGAAACGTGAAGGTGACTCCAATTTATATGTCATGGTTTGCTGTATGAAAAATTGTTATCAAGGAAAACTGGGAAGAAAATATGTTTAAATATTCAAGTTTTGTTCTAAGACTAAAAGAATGGATTGTCACTTGCAAATGTGCAGACGCGTAATTAATTAAGTAAATAATATACTGTAGTATATGATTATTATCATTGGTGGAATCACCACCCGTGGGTTCCGATAATGGTTCATCTCAAACACCACACAAACCAAAGGAAATATAAAGAAATAAAAGGAAGACATTCTTTGCGTCTTGTTTTCCACCTTGGATTATTCAACAAAGTACATGTATATGAGAGGTTTTCTTGAGATACTGTTCATGATTTAACAAGTTATTCCTAAAACAGAGTAATCTGTCCATGTTTTCAATAAGTTTCTAAGAGCGTAAATCGTAATTTCAGTAGCATTTAGTCCGGATTAAAAACGAACAGACAGATAAAAAAGGGAGAAAGAAGATGTTCTTCCGAGGTTGAAAGGAACTCAGAGTGAACAATAACTGTCATGGTATGTCATATCATTTTACAAAGACAAATAGACCAAGAGACGGACTTGCAGAACAGAGATACATGTGACAAACAGACGGACGGGCAGACAGAAATACTGACAAAGATAAAAATAGTAATTTGTTGCATGACGAACGCACATCATTTCAATTAATTCGAATTTATATCTTGTTGTCATGTGTATGTATAATTATACAATATATTTACCATTTTGAAATTTAAAGTACTTTACTTTGCATCTTTAAATTTACATGGTGAAATTGCATAATATCATTTATCTTATCTATTGCGTTTTTTAACAGTCATTCTAGTTATCACAATTTTAATGTAGTTAAAATAAGGCGTACACCTGCAGCACAATGTGCACACCTGCAACACCGGTCAAAACTAACTAATAAATAACTGTTGATGTATATCTTTGACGCTGGTACTTTACTAGGAGCTGTCGAGTTGTCAATACAAGCATAGCTATGATCATAGTTAAAAGGTAAAATGACTTTGATATATAATATAAAACATTCTTTATCAAGATGCATGCTGTTATCAGCATTGCGGGTTGTAGAGTTTTGCACTTTACGTAACATATTGCAATGAGTTGAGAAAATAAATATCTATATGAAATAGAAGAAAGATCTAATAACGTATTTACTTGCTGATATAATATGACTGATTAAATGAGATTAATAAAAGGAAACGATGAAAAATTTAGATTCAAGAGACTGAGAATTTATTTCGTAGTATTTCAACGTCAACAAAACATGTCCCTGTGACACTTGTAACAGATGATGTTTTTTTTTTTTTTTAAAAAAACTAGTTCCGACTGGTCTTTTTCAATAATAATTGAACAAAAACACAACAAAAAGAACATACAAAAACACACTTTATTTTCCTCCGGATATTCAGTAAATATCTCTGTTTCTAATTTTCTAAAGGATATACACATGTACGATCTGGTTTGGTTTTTTACGTTACATGCATGTATGCCTTATAAACCTACGTAATGTACGATCTTTGAATTTTGAAATAATACTTTTTTGTTATTACTTTTTTGACTCAGCGAACATTACGCTAAATTTCTGTTACAAGGTCACATACGCATCCAAGCTACAGCCAAGAAAGACAACTCTCATTGTTCTGGCTAATAAACAACACCCTATTAATTCCCTTGGACTTTTATATACAGAGAAGCCGAGACGTAGTAAATTAAAACAAAAGAAGAAACATTTTATTACTGAAAGATTTGTGTCAAGTAAAGAAATAAACACATGTATGTGCAGTTTATTGTGAGTGTTTGGCAAGTGTTTGGTCGGTAATTTAGTTGTAGCTATTATAGCAGTAGTTATTTTTATACCACAACCACAAGTATATATTGACTTCCGCTGAGTTGAATCAAGTGCACTGGGGCGTGGAGAAATATTCAATTTTTCTGCATATTCCAACGTGAACACATACCAAAAACTTATCAGAGCTAATAAGTTCAAAAATAGTCATCCACCATTTAACATACACACAAGATAAGAATGATGTTTGGAAAAAAATCTAATACGTGCATTTTTAAAAGTTGGTTGGAGCAATTCCACATTGACTAAATAGAACAAAGAAGCAATCCAAATAAAAACCACCTCTGTATAAAGACCATGTTGTTCACAGGTTTGACTGTATGAGAAATGTCTGCTGGCGATTAACAAAATGTTGATAACTTTACCATCGTAAACTTCCCGCGCGACTTGCATTACTATCAAGATTATTGCACTCTATTTTATCGTCTGCTGTAAAATGCACTTCACATATATTGCACGAGTTGGTAATTTTCGAGTGACGGTGTTTGATACATTATAATAACACGTAGGTATGCTTTCAAAAACCACTTGGAAAGCAATTTACAAAATTAACAGACAATTTCTTGGATGTAAATTGAAAGGTGACGTATATGATAATCTATAACAAACAAACGATGCATTCTAAGAAGCCTGTACGGCGACATATACAATTAACAAGATTTGACCATATCTACCAAAACGGAAAATTTGATATCACATGATAACAAAATGAACGACATAATTAAGGAAGCAGTACACAGTTTCGGTGGTTTAGTTTCAAATTTACAAATAAGAGATCATTTTGTAATTGGAGTGGATATTTGAGCTTCTAAATATTTAAAGCTGCTATATTTGAAGTTTCAGTGGCTGGTATTGTGTTTTAGTTATCAAGTAATATTTGTTTTGGCAGTACCTCAATCGCAACTACTCGGCACTTTCCGTCAGTCTTCGGATATTATTATAGATAATAGCCGAGGCAGTTCCGAATGGCAGTACCTCGGAAATCAGCTCTTCAATTTAAAGGGTATGCAGAAGACATAAAACAGTGGAAAAACTAATTACATGACACCCAGTTTGGATTTTATTTTCAGATTGTGCATTGTTTAAGAAAGAAGAAACACTATAGCTTGTGATTTAATTTTGTGACGTTAATATATTTTTGTAATTTTGCGAATAGGGTAATCCACTTTTTTTGTCGTTGTTTTTCGCGACCAAAACAATGAAAAGCACAAGGCTATGTGCCAGAAAACCAGACATGTATTTTAAATTGTTTGATATGACATACATATGTTAAATATGAAATGCATTTATTTCAGGTGTGTGATAACAGACGTGTGTGTTAGGTTTTGATTGTGATGTCGCAGTCAGTTGTTTGCCGAGAAGCCTTGAAAACTGTGTATTGCCCACAAAGGGGGCGCCTACGGTGCACGCTATCCGCCGTATCTTGTCGGTTTATCTATACGTATATAAATTGAAATACTATCTTCATGCACGAAGCTCGAAACCGGTGTGTATGCTCCTACGGGGTAAACAATATATGAATTATTTCTATTTATAAAAAAGAATAACATTTTTGGAAATGATAATGCTTGTACATTGCCTACGCTCATAACACGTGAACACATCAAGATGGCGCGGTCCATACATTCTTTGGACTTCGTTGAGTTTTATCACGGATTTATATTACATCCGTGGTTTTATATCACCAAAATTAAAAGCAAACTTAATGTTCGAATACATTCTAGAAATCAAAGATATAAGTTATAAAGTTAAAAAACAAACACATAATATCGATGGAAAAATACGTGCTCTCTATTTACAAATAAATTCATATAAGAAAACATACTTAGTCTAATATTTTATATACTCAAATTGGATTTCTCTGAATATCGTGTATCGCACGTATGAAAAGCCGTAACTAAATGATCTTTACAATCGAATCCAACTGTGAAATTACTTTACTGCAAAAGAATGAACATTTTTGTTTCTGTATAAATTTGTTATTGATTAAACATGCGGACATTTATATTGGTACGCATATTAAAATGTCACTTTATGACAAATGAACTAGCAATCACTAAAGTCCGAGTATGATGTAGACACCTGTCAAAGTCGACTTTTTCCGTGAACAAATAACTTAAAAGGGAGGACAAATCCCCTTATATATATCCAATAATATAAATCACCGGTGTTCTACCAGTAAAGGTGTTCACCCAAACAGACCACCAAACAACGGCATACCAGCTGGTTGTATTCTTATAGTTCTTCCAGGAAGAGGCCTGAACCCTTGCCGAACACCGACAGCAGACCTAATCAAAGAGCCAAAAAGTCCACCGCCCCCATTGCCAATGTTCAACGCAGATCGTAAGGCGTTCCCTATAGCGGCTAATGGATTAGGGCGGGTTGTTTTAATAATTGTTATTCCACCACCACCACTAGATTTCTTCGGAGCAGGGGTTGTAGTTGTAGTTGTTGTCGTTGTTGTCGGCCTCCTTCTGCGACCACCACGACCGCGACCTCGTCCACGACGTCTGCCGCCTCGACGGCCATTACGTCTTCGGCCACCTGTTGTAAGCAAAACACTTCCACTATCAACCACACCCAAATCTAATTTATCATAATCATGTATGCCAACAGATTCGGATAAATGTACTGTGGGGCCTACATTAACTGGACCTGGGATAACACCGGCAGCACGAGCATCGTCAATAGTAGCTCCAGGTGGCAGATGCAATGCCGGCTCATTCAGTGCGTTCCCGTGTTGTCCTGGAGCATCAATATGAATATCAGAATGTAAATGGTGGTTCTTATGACCTAAAACTTCCCCAGGGTGACCAGGGTGTCTATGTACCATTGGAATACCATTGACAGGATTTCCGTGTATATCTATATGGACGTTTCCTACGTGTTTTCCGGGATTAGGTCCGATAGGAATTTCTTCTTTATGGACAACTGGAACACCATTTATTGGATTACCATGCTGTCCCGGCATGTCAATATGAACACTGCCAATCAGCACACCCGGGTTAGAACCAACGTATCCTGGCTCTTTATGAACAATTGGATGATTGATCTGATTACCATGTTGGCCCGGTAAATCTACATGGACCTTAATAGTTGGTGCATCAGGAATATGGCCGTGATGGTTCGATTCTCGATGGACAACGGGATGACTATCAAACGGATTGCCATGTTGTCCCGGTAAATCTACGTGAATGTTATCAATTGGTACATTAGGTATATGTCCAAAGTGATCCGACTCTTTATGAACAACTGGATGATTGTTAATATGATTGCCGTGTTCTCCTGGTAAATCTACGTGGACGTTACCAATTGATGAACCAGGATTATGTCCGATGTGATGCGATTCTCTGTGTACAACTGGGTGATTGTCAAACGGATTACCATGTTCTCCCGGCATATCTACGTGGATATTACTCGTTCCTGCAAGACAAAATGAAATTCAAACTACTTTATACTGCTTGTACCAAAATGACAATCGTCGATTTTAAAAACTGTTTACCGAATTTTCCATATATTCATGTTATTAACTACATGTATCTTATTTAAAATGTTGATCAATAAGTTTTTGACGAAACGAAGAAAATCTCTTTCCCATAATAAATTCCAGAAATATTTTGTAGTCATGTCATCTGTAAATACAGCGCAACTTGAGCTGTTAATCATTCTCTTAGGAATATCACTATCACCTTCATGTTTTACAGTATTTTTAGTGATTATTTAGATGAAACATCTAATAATAGTTTGGCTTTTTTACAGCTTTTTTACCCATTCTTACAGTTTATTATCCCTTTTTACAGTTATTTTTCCTTTTTACAGCTTTTTTAACCTTTTTTTTTACAGTTTTTAGACTTTTTTTTGACTCAAATTAACCATTAAAAAAGATTATTGAAAAACTTACCGATCAAGTCTTGAGCACTAACATATGAAGCCATGATAGTAAGATATAATAGAAATTTGGAGACTCCCATTATCATTAAAAATTTAGTTAAACAAATAAATATGTAAAATTTATATTTGATCACATAGAAATAATATTAACACTGCCTTTGTATGTTACTTGAAACAAATACACAACAACAATGTAAAACTGTTCGTTTATGTACAAAAGGTAATACACATTCGTGTCAAATTAACAATAAAAATGACAATAAAGTATTGACACTTTAGCAATATGCATCAATGTCAAGTGAATATCTTTCTGGTTGACGTTCATGAAATACTCTTACTCTGATTAAAGAACGCTACGTAAAGAAAACGTACCAATCAGGTATCGATAATATAACGTAAAGCAAAAACGTCACGGTGACGTCAAACTTAATAATTGTTATTATTACCAAAAGTGCAAAAAAAATCGACAGTTGATTACTGTTATATGTAATATTAGATATAGAGGTACAGTTGATATTTTTACTGTTTTATGTTTAAAAACACATTAAATACAGCTTATTATGTCTAACATTTGGTGTTATTATAACACTTTATTCAGTCATGTTGGAATGACTTGACAAGTTAATTAATATCTGCAGATGTAAAATCTTAGAACTTAAAGTTTAAATAAAGTGATTATTTAATCAGTGCCGAGAAAATGCTTTTTTTAATTTCGATTTTCATTTTTCACGCATCTCGAAGTATACATATTTTTGAGATAAGTATGAGTGCTTCTAGTACTCCATTGTTAATGTTTAATGAAAGTACAGAAATTTATTAAACGTTTGCAAAACTTTTACGAACTAGTCGCAACAGTTCCACTTCATTTGTTGGCATTACTGATGAAGGAAAAGTAGCCGCTATCCTCGCACTTGCCTCCGTAATTTGTATTGGTCAAGAGAGGTAACCACTTTGTCATCGCAGCGGTTACTTCCCTCGATCAATACATTTATACCGAAGAACGAAGGAGTTCGAGATAGTGAATTAGATTAGCCATAATTTTCCTTAGGCGGCCTTGCCCGAGGGGTTAAAGACGTTGACTTAAAACCACTTGCCCTCGCCTGCTAGGACTGTGAGGAAACTATCCAGCTAGAATAATCTTACCGTTTGTAACTAAAATGGTTCAATTTTAGATGTGACAGACATTTTGTAAAACCTAATGTTGACACTTTAGAGTGTAAAAATTCATTTTTCTTTAATAGTAATGTTGTTTCGTAATTAACAAATCTCTTTTGAATTGATTGTCAATCAGTAGAAAATGTTTGCGAATGGTAGAATGTTCTTATTTTCTTTACTTCTATTTATTTTAAATCTTGTTACATTTGTGTCCAGGTTAGTTTTAACTGTTAGAAAAATATTCAAACAATGTGTTAGATACAGGACCATCGACAATTGGTTCCATCCAGACCTCGCCAACCGATCATCCTTGCGTCCTCTGTCTGACCCACAATCGCAACTTTTCGGCCCTTTCCGCATATCTTCGGATAAAGACCTCCACCAGCAATTGCAACTTCTCGACCTTTTCCGAACGGTATTCCGATCTAATCAACGCCAAGAAACTTAACATGTAATTAAAAAGTAGTTTGTCACAGAGTTATTGATTGACCAATATATGAGAAACAGTCCATCTACATTAAAGATCCTGTAACACATTTTTTCATGGTTTTATTTCATAAATATGATGCTCAAATTAAGATTTGTCAATATTGTAAGTTCCAATAAGCTTTTTTTTATAAAGATATTACCCAATTTAACATTTCATGTAAATAAAGGGAGGTAATTAGAAATTTATTTCTAAGTCAAATTTTCCAATAAGAAATGAATGCATGTAATTTATTGATTAAATATAATGTGCACAAATATTTGCAGTACACATTTTACATATTCTTCGATGTTTGAAAATTGTTTTATTTGCATAATTATATGCATATATAATTTTTTGCAAGTGTGGTATACACACAGCAACAAGATCAATCACAAAACTTACAGGATCTTTAAGTAAATTTATAGATATAAAAGATAAAAGTAATGCATGTTGTAGAAACCGAAATTACAAACTGTATACTTGTCATACACTCGGCTTTGGTTAAAATTGTACATCAGTGGGTGTTTTTAAATTAATTATAAATGTTAGACATATTTTCAATCATGATTTTACCGAAATATACTCGTTATACATTATACAAAGATTACACCCTCTGTTTTTATCTGTTAATAGTCTAGGTGTTCCGATAGTCCATACATTTCATTTTACGCGGTTTCCATACCTCTCAAAGTATTTACAATTTACGAAAAATACTTTATCGGTAAAACCTTTTAAACTATTTATAGTTCAAAGCAATTTTCAGAAAACATGATATTCGCTTACGACTACTATGTGGTTTTTGAAAAACTGTTCGTGTATGTTTAAATATTTACCTATCAGTAGAGGAAAATGAACTTACTTTACGGCAGTTCTTCACAACACAAAGCTGGAATACATTGGCCTGATATATGTAACAGGTAAGAATTTTTTAAATTACGAAAACCTTACAAATTTACAATAGGTGTATAAATCGTGAGGTTTAACTTGAAAAACAACTTTATAGTGAACATTTCATTAATTATCAATTTGTAATGCGCGACATTCTTAATTAAATATATCTACTGGCTAAATAGATATGTTCTCTTTTCGTTTGTTGTTTCTTTTTTGTCTTGAGTATACTATGGGTGGATCTTGGAACCAACAGGTCAAGTTGCTCCATCGTTATTATTTAAAAGGTCAAGTTGCTCCATTGTTTATTATTTAAAAGGTCAAGTTGCTCCATCGTTTATTACTTAAAAGGCGCCGGCGGGCACATGGGAAAATCTCCCTGCCTCCCCCCCGTCTGCTCAATGAATTTAGTTTTTAAACAGATTTTTTGTTTGATTGTGTAGAGAGATCAGCATATATTGAGGAATTACAGTAAAGATGCTTTTGCTTGTGCTCAATGAAACAATAGCATGTCCCTGATGGGGTTTGAACCCACGCTGCCAGTGATCCTGAGATGGTAACTTGCAAAACGTTTTCAATAATTTCCTCGCCACTATTCTCTAGGAAGGGGTTTCTGATTTTAATATTTTTACTATTTTAAGTTGTAGGTTTATTGAAATTTGAAGCTAAACAGTTGTTGTATTTTTCAATTCCTATTTCTTCAGTTTTTATTTGGTACAAAGTATGCCAATAGCCAAAAAGCAAAAACAGAAAATATAGTTCATCTATGTGGCCAATGATTAACCTTTTGAAAATTGTAAAAATATACCAAAAATTATAAGAATTTGAGAAAATTAATAGAAATGATAGCATTTTGCAAGCTTAATGGGCCTTTAAATAAGGAACAAGGCACTTATCATCACTCATGCGCGGATCCAGAGGGCGTCATGAGCCCCCCCCCTCCACCCTCCTCTAGGATTTGACTAATATATCATAATATAAGCGGCGTCACGACAAAACCAACGTAATGCGCTTGCGACCAGCATGGATCCAGACCAGCCTACGCATCCGCGCAGTCTGATCAGGATCCATGCTGTTCGCTATCAGTTTCTCTACTTAGTGTTTGTAAGCGAACAGCATGGATCCTGATCAGACTGCGCCGATGCGCAGGCTGGTCATGATCCATGCTTGTCGCAAACGCATTACGTTGGTTTTGTCATGACGCGGCTCATTTGTATTTGAATATGCGGTCCTAACTCCTCGGAAATGCAAAACCTCCTGTGTAATATTCGTTAACCCATGTCGAAATTGCTTGACCCGCTCTGGTAAAATCACCGACTTGAAGCCTTCTTTTTCTAATATACAAGTGCAGTCCTACGCACAAGCCCAAGATTTCCAGTTTTCCCCAAAATTTCCTATCTCTGGCCAGTGATGAGCATTTAATTATAATTACACGGCTTGTCACTGTATTACTGATAGCAGCACCATTGAATGTTTTATGATCCTATCATGTTTCAAGAATGTATAGTTTAAGCTGGAAGACTAGAGAACATTTTAGATGTAACGAAAAACTAATATTTAACTTTTTAGTGTAAAGAAGACAAATACAAAATTGGATTACAGTAAAAAAAAGGTTTTTAATCACTTACAACTCACAATGAAAATAATTTTGTAAATTACTTTCATATTAAAGGCACATCATACCTCAGTGATTTACATTCTTTTTCTTTTTTTCAGAAGGAGCAAAATAATGTTTAGTATATTGATAATAATGGATTCAAAGCATTATTGAAGCTTATCATTCAATCTAGTAGGGAAGAGATGAATGTGATTTTTTTTTATAAAAAAGGTACCAAAATGATACAAGCAAAAAGTAAATAAAGTTTTTAAAGTAAAATTCTAAGTTCAAAGAGGAAATATCTCTTGAAATAAGGATACTAGAGTTATTTAACCATGTCATGCATGATGTGAGTTACAATTATCTTAAGTCTAGAGTTGATGTCATTTATAATAACAAAGATAATTGTTAGAAATATATTAATTTTCAATAAATCCCTACTTCAAAAATGATATGAAGATAATTTTAGAAATACAGGACTAATGAGTTATAAATCTAATCCCACCTGATATAGGTGTTGATAAAAAAAATTTTATGCCGCCGAAGGGAGGCATATTAAAATCGCACCGTCCCTCTGCCTGTCTGGACGTCCGTCTGTCTGTGCGTCCCCACTTCATTCCTGTCCGGACTATAACTTTGTCATGCATGGAATGATATTTAAATAACTAGGCATTAATGTCTACCACATCGATGTGTAGCGTCCAAGAATTACGTCCCTATCTCAGAGGTCAAGGTCACACTAACATTTTGAAGTTTCACTTTATCACAATAAAAGTTTATAGGTTCACACATTTGTGTCCGGAATGTAACTTTGTCATGCATGGAAGAATTTTAAAATAACTTGGGATAAATGTCTTCCACATCAAGACGATGTGTTACGCGTCAACTTATCACGCCCCTACCTCAAAGGTCAAGGTCACACTACCATTTTGAAGTTCACTATATCAAAATTACAGTTTATAGTTACACACATTCGTGTCCGGACTGTCATGCATAAAAGGATTACAAAATAACTAAGCATAAATATCTTCCACATCAAGACGACATGTCGCGACTAAGACCCCTATCCCTACCTTCAAGGTCAAGGTCATACTTATAGTTTGAAGGTATTCATTCATTCGAGAAGAGTTTGAAGATACACATTCATGTCCGGCATGCATGGAAAACTTTTTATAATAACTTTTGCACAAATGCCTACCCCTTCAGGACAATGTATCGCAGCTAAGGCTCATGTCCGTCTGTCCGTTTGTGTGTCCCCACTTACACAACAATCATGTCCAGTATGTAACTTTATCATGCATTGAGGGATTTTGAAATAACTTGGCACAAATGTCTATCTCATGACAACATTCTGTCGTATCTAGGAACCACGTCCCTTCTTCAAAGGTCAGGGTTACACTTATACGCTATCACAATAAGAGATTATAGGTACAATAATACAAAGAAAAATAGTAAGCAATTAGTTACTTTCATCCTCTTTTCTTTTCATACTACCAGTCCTGCATGCTTGAGCAACTTTTTCGGGGGCATCGTCACTAATCTTGTGTGACAGCTCTTGTTGAAGTCCGAATTTAATAAGGAAAATTCTAAGTATAAAGGGATAATGATTCTGAAAATATTGATGCTAGAGTTTTGAAGCTTGCCATGTTATTGTTTAAAGTTATAAAATATCAATTTTTATTTAAAAAAAAAAAAAAAAAAAAAAATTAATGGGGGAAATAATCCTGGAAATATTCATGCTACAGTTATGAATCTTGTCACACATGATAAGGAAATATATTTGAAGTTAGAAGTTGATACCTTAAGAAATAAAAAAGAAAGTAAAAGTAACATTTTTTGAGAGGAAAAAAAATCATGGGTAGATAATTCTGGAAAAAATGGTGTTAGAGTAAAAAATAAACATTGTCACATATGATGTAGTTGATGATAAGGAATACATGTTTGAAGTTTAAAGTCAATAATATAATATGAAATGAAGATGTTAGAGTAAAATATAACATTATTTTAAGTTCAATGGGATATAGTTCTGGAAATACTGGTTTTAGAGTTTTGCATCTTATCAAATGATGTGGATGATGATTAGGAATATATATTTGAAATTGATACCTTAAGAAAGAAAGAAGCTATAGGCGCATAAACATTAATTTAAAGTATAGACGTTGACGTCGACTTGCAAACCCAGGTGAGTAGGACAACTCACCACATTTTTAGTATAGTCGAGCTAATACTTACCTGGTCATTTTAGTTAAGAGTCTTGCACTTTGCAGTAAAAGTTACATCTATGAACAGTTTTTTGTTTTTGGTTTTTGTTTTTTAGCGAGCCGGGAGGGGGGTTCAGTCAGTAACATGAGTAACAGTGACACTTAACTATTGAACTTTATTTATTATTAATTAAAAAAAATATCATAATTTATGTTGTAAAGTATATTTACAAATAATTCAAATTGCTAAGTTTCACAATTCAATTGGGCCACATACCCATTTACAAAAGAAATTAGAAAAAAAACATTGATTAATTTAGTGAGTGTATCTTCTATAGAAATGTGATCCTTCAAAGTTGGGGCCATTAGATAAGAATACAGAGGGGCAATAAATAATGACAAAACTCTCAACTCAGTGGACGTGTTAATGGGAGATATACAGTTAATAGTGATTTACTAGCTGATAAGCCCTTACTGAGATTCAGCAGGCTGGAAGGGTTTATGCGTAGGACTGAGTGGACGTGTTTACTTTAATAAGATAAACTTATAAGATAAATAAGATAAATTTTGACATGGCCTGTAAAGGAAGGTTTTATCTTTCTCTGGTATTTTTAATGTAAGTCATTATATACATGTAGTGTGTATCCTCGTCGTTATCACACCCCCCCCGCCCCCCTTTGAGGAAAATATTTAGGGCAGTCAAAATCCACATTATATCTATTTAATTTGATTACGTCCAACTCTATAGTATTGTTTAACTGAATAATTTCCGGGATGCTTCTCGGTAGTTTCCGTAATTTTTTACGATTTACGCTCTCGATAATTAAGTGAATTGTAGTCACGTTATCATAAGCTCGAGTCCTCACTCAAACCTTACTTCAGATTTCTTTAACCGCTTAACTGTAGAATGACTGGATAAAATTTTGGCGTCTTTTTTCCTGAATTTCATAATTTTGATAATATGTAAATTTTCATCAAGCGTTTCACACGCGCAAAACCATAGTGGTCAAGCTTTGTAAAATGCAGTTAAAACAATAATAAGAAAATAAAGAATGATTTATAATGTTTTATCATATTAAACCTACAATCTTCAGCTTGAAACTTACTACTGTGGTAAGTAAGGCAAGTATTATGGGAACCGCCTCCGTGGTCGAGGGGTTAGAGTCGATGACTTCTAATCCAGTTACCTCTCTGGCGTGGGTTCGATCCCCGGGAGATGCTTTGGTAGTTT